CTTTTTAAACTTTTGCATGGTAGAACCAGAAGCTGCACTTCGTATTAGTGATAAACTTTGGCTTTTTTGATGGGTTGCCTTCATTTTTGCTTCTACTTTTCATTTAAAATAGGTTTCCATTCTCGGCAGGTTTCTAAGGTTCTTCTTCTACATATTAAAAAAGTTGTTAAACATCTGAGTGGCGCACTACCGCTACTAGTGGTGAGAAAGTGTATTGCACCTTATTCAAAATCAATGCGGTCCCACGGCCCTCTGTGGCCCAAAGTTGAAAACTGTTGTTCTTTTGAGGCCCTCAAGGTGGCGCAATTTGGGCTGAAATGCCCTAAAAGTTAAAACCAAAATYTAAAAATGACTCCTCAAATGCACATAGAGCCAGAACAGGAGTAATGTGAGCTCTCCTGTTGGTCTTAATTAATAACTTCTCTGCAGCAATCTGCACAGACTGAAGGTGAGCCGAGGATTTGTTTAAGCAAGTAAAAGGGTTGTTATAGTAATCTGAACAAGAAGAAATAAAAGTTTGAACAATCATCTCTAGTTCTTTCTGTGAAAAAGATCCCAGCTTAGAAATTTCAGAAATTATAAAAACAGATAGTTGTTCTACAGCCATAGTTGGATTTCAGACAAAAAGTTACCGAGTTCAGACATTTTGTAGATCTCTGAACTTGTTCTAGTTCATTTCGGAGATCTACAACTTTAACCAGGGCTGTCCACTCCTTGGCCTCGAGGGCCGCAGTCCTGCACGTTTTACTTATTGTCCTGTGCCAATGAGCTACGCCTGATCCAGTGATTGAAGGACCCCTTTAGGTTCGGCAGAAGTCTGTTAATCAACTGTGCATCCAAATCAGATGTGTTGGAATAGAAAAATCTCTCAAACATAAGGATAGTGGCCCCTCGAGGAACAGGATTGGACATTAAGGTTGCACCAATAGCAGTTTTCTGGCCTATCGCTGATCTTTAAATAGTCTGGCCTGCTGATTCCGATTTTGGCCAAACAGATTTTTAAAATAATTCACGCTTTTAGGTTACAATACATCTTCGCTGTTCCCAACTTATTTTATTAAAAAACATTGAACTATACCCTTGAAATAATACAAACTTGTTTTAACTGGACATTATAGAGAACAGTTGCTGATTTTCAGATCTTTGTGGAGATGATCTTTTTCACCGATCTAATCAAAGTATCAACTGATCTCCCAAGACTAAAGAAATCAATGCACCCCTGTTGGACACCCCTAACTTAGATCTTAGCGTTGTTATTTTGTTGCACAATGCATCGCCTCTGGAGTCACAGATTCTCTGACGATTTCCTTTCAGTTCTCTCAGTGTGGTTTGGAACTTGTATTAAAGACAAAGCATTCAGGTCCACGTGTCTGGCTCAAATCCCGTTTCACAGATCAGACACAAAGACAGAACACTCCATTGTTTTCTGATCTGTTCTTATGAGAACATTATCCAACAACTCCCACTGTGCAAGAGCTGTTGTTTTATCAGTCCTCAACCACTCACAGGTGTGTAATTCTGGATCATCCACGTTAATGACACGTTTGACCATCTGATTATGTTCATGTTAGTCATTTTTATTTGGCAGTACAAATTATTCTAAACAGCTGACAAACTACTGATAGTATTCTGTACTTATTCCTAGAATTTGGGTCTAAGTTATAGCAGCATTTTTACTTTAGAGGTGAAGCTTCTCTGCACTGAGTTTAAAAATGGAAAACGCAGGTTCATGTAGGGTTTTTGAAGCAACAGATTTGACACATTTTAATGTCTTTTGTTTTTTGCGTTTCAGGTGTTTCTAAAATGTACATTTTAAACACTTTTTTCCTTTTTTACCATTTAATACCATCACATAGAAACAACGACGTTATCTGAGCTAAATGCATATTGTCTTTTAAGAAGGCACAGAGCATTTTAAGTTTTAAGAGGTGCATTTAGGGCGAAACTCAGCAGCAGCTAAAACCTGGATCTCTGACATATCAGAAGCTGTCGACAGCTTGTCAACTCCCAGATAAATGTGGGATAATGACATTTTATCAAATCAAACAGTCAAAATAATAAATATGTGCAAAAGATATTTTCTAAGAGAGAACATGACTCCTGCTAGGTGTGTGAGAAATAGTTTTTTTTTGATCGAATTCTACTGCTTTAATTCTTCTTCCTCTTTATTCACTGTGGATTTTTTAAATTTATTTATGTTTTGTTCTTCAGTCTTTGTTCTTTTATCTCTTTTCTCACACGTTGCTGTTTCCTGCCCGCAGCTGTCGTGGACGGGGACAGCTTTGAGGAGGTTTATCACAAAGTAAAGACAGTGATTGAGGAGCAATCAGGGCCTTACATCTGGATCCCCACTCGGGAGAGGCTGTGATGCTGCTGCACCCACCCCAGGCCACCCCGACCGACCCGACCCACGACGAACCGACCGACCRACCACCCCTCTCCAACAAAGCCACCAACCGACACCACCCTTCACCCTCACGGCCGAGCCAGCCTCGCCTGCCTGCGAATTCCTCCAGYGAAGTCAGTGCTTATAGGCAATCACTGCAGCTGACAGAGAGACAAACACGGGATGTGACACAGCGAKGCGAAGGATACCAAATAACAACAAAAAAGAGACTTTTTGATAGCTGTAAACACAGTGATGTTAAACTGAAGGAGGTCTTACCAGTATTCCACTTTAATGAGAGCAGGACTTGATATTGATCAGCATTAAAAATAACTCCTGTTTGGAGCTGTGACTGCACCCTTTAGTGATACCATAACTTGCACATAACTGCGTCTAAACCCAAACAGATGCATTTCCCCCACCTGWTAAGTACATAAAATAACAAATTAGGATGGAACAGTTTGGTTTAAGCAGATTTAAATGACATGAAGGTGCCARGTGAGAGCAGCAGTTCTTATGTGGATCTAAATGCAGCAAGTCTGACAAAGTATCAGGTCAGATAACAAAGATGAAGCTATTTGTTCTGCCTAGTTTCTAATCAGGAATATGGGAAGACCTAAAACAAGAGGGTTGGGACCAAGGGTTCAAAGGAGCAGAGAATTTCTGGAAGCTCTCCATGGGAAGTTAAGGTGGGGGTTTTGTAAATGTTCCATATTGGAAACCTTACATGGGCATAATGGGAATTAACTGAAAACTGGGGGTAATTTACATGAACTGCTTCATATTTAGACAAAAATAGAAATGTTATGTTTCGTTATAGGCAAAAAATGGTTTGTTTTTTGTGACTATATTCACATAAAAATATAATGGAAACAAAGATATTTCATATAACAGAATATTGTTAAAACGTCTACATTTTTATTGCACARCTCTGAACAAAATCTTTTGCATGATTTTGAGCAATTATTTAGGCGTTTTTCTGTCATTTTATTTGCAGCATATCAAAACTAATTTCAGTAAATTTCACATAAAAACTATTTACAACTCAGAGCTAAACTTTTTACAGGTTAATATTTTCATGTATCCCTAGATGATCGAGAGATAATTTATCATTTTTTAGAGAGTGGTACCTCTCCTTTAACAATGGAATCTGGTTGTTTTAATGACGAATGTGCTAAAATATATTTTCTACAACTATAGAATCCATACTTTAAAGTCTTGGATTATTCCCATATATTCTCATGGAACGTTTCCAACTTTGAAAATTCTGGTAACCTTGTGTTCCCATTGGGACCCAGTTCTTTCTGAGCCCCTCTTGACCTGGAGTGTTTTCAGTGAAGCTCCTCTTGGTCTCTGGTGTGAACTTTAATACTAATAACACCTCAGGAACCAAGACTGACATCTCTTCTATCACCCGTCTTCAGTATTTTTAAAGCCAAATGAAACAATTTAGATTCAAATAACTCATTATGCTGAATTTAAACATGCATCCTCAACACAGATGGAGATGGCAAATGATAATAAGGGATTCAAAACAAGAAGAAATAAAAGCAAAAAAAACAAAAAAACAGAAGAACTGGGCTTATAAACTAAAGATGAAGAAGTTGTGCTTCCTGTCTGGGAAGCTTACTAAATTCAAAACAGCAGAGTTCGTGTTTCAACCTCTAAACTATACTTGTTCTGTTCTGTTTATTATAATCTGCTAATCCTAAATAGCTAAGGGAAACTAAAACTGCACACCAAGCAAAAGCTCGACACTCAAAAGAATAAAACTCACCAAGGTGGGCCAAGTGAGGATGGCCATCTACTTTTTAGGGGTGGCCATAGCCCCCATTTGGTGGCGCTCCTGTCCCCGTGATGACAGAAGGAATGGAAAAGGAACAGAAACTAAACAAAAAAGCTCTCAAAACGTGGATATCCTAACTGAGATTAGTCAAGTCAACGAGGAAATCTAAATTCAACAAAACAAAACAATAAACACAAAAACATTCTCATCCTTTATGTTGCTGGAGCAACTAAGCAACTCAGAAAGATTGTCTYCAAACACAAGCGCCTACAGTATCTGTCTGACAGGGACTGGCTCAGTCCCGGAACAAAGTTCTCAAAACCGAGCGGCGTGGTGTCTGTTCAGAGTTGTATATTAGAGAAACTGAACAACCTCTACATAGAAACTTGACTCAGCACAGCAGAACCAGCTCGTCAGGACAAGACTCAGTTGTTCATCTACACCTTTAAGGAGAAAAGACACTCTTTGGTGGACCAATGTGTTCATATCTTGAACCTGGAGTTTGTTTTCCTCGTGTTTGTGAAGGCTTCCTCCCTGTACTCCAGTTTTCTCCCGCGATCTAAAAACATTCATTTTCGGTTGCCTTCAGGCCCAGGCCTCCCTTGCAAAAGAAATCTGTGATCTCAGTGGGATTTGCCTGGTTAAATAAAGGTCAATAAAAAAATAAATCTCTCTGTGAGCCATGCAAACAAGACCCTAACAACTCTTTGTTCTAAGAGGCGTGTGCATGAGAATCCAGGTTACGTAACTGAGCTTCTCATGAGGTTTCAAAAGCTTGGAACAAGCTCACACTCTAGTTTGGAGTTGAGAAAGCTACTTGGATCGAAAGTAAACAGTCTTCAACTTCAGAATATAAGTCTTTTTTTATTTTCTTTTGATTTCTAAGTCCTGGATGACTGAGAAACTACACCAGCTTATTGCCGTGCACTTTGGAAAGGACACATTCGAAGTGGTACAGGAGTATGAGATGATGTCAAGGAAACGTGCAAGTTACAGGAGCTTTTGTCCCAGAAGCATAAGACTCAACTCCACCATCAAAGGACAAAGAGCAGAAGGGATACTTCTGAAAGCTCAAAACAAGCTGCTTAGTGAGAAAACAAGGCAGATCCACCTCACCATCGAAGCTCTGTCACCTGCCAGAAGCTGTCGACTCGTCTACCTCACGTTCTGACTAGAGTTTCTACATTAGTCAAAATAGAAGGCCCAGTTTTCACATCAGAAAAGCAAGAAAGAACAAAATATATGTTCTCAAAATTACAACAAAGGTATCTACAGCACAGATCAGGAAGATGTCACTAATACAAATATTCAGGAAAAGGACACAAATATACTGGACAGAGCGCTTATACAGCCAGAGGAGGTACTGATGAAAGGACTGAAAGGTTGCCATTTCTACACAAGAAATACCCATTGTTGAACTAATCAGTGTCACTGAATCTATTAGGAACAACAACCTGACTGAAGCAGAGGGAAAATAAAGGCAACAGCAGCCGTCTCTAGCACCAAGCCGCCTCCTTCCAACCTTATATCTGCTAGGAATGTTTAGACCTCTATACTGGAGAAAATAAACACCCTCTCTGCAGACGCATCAACACAGGAGAAGCAGCTCTTTAGGACAAGGCTCGTCCGTGCACCTACGGAATTAATGGACGACCAAAGAGGACCAAAAGATTCTTTTTTTTTTTTGGACAGAGAAGCCAATTGGTTTGAGACGGAGGTAAAGGAAGCCATTTATGTCAAAGCTTCCCTTTAGATTACACCTTGATGCATGTGACCAAAACATCTCTCTTATAGTCGCGTTTTCGAGCGTTGATGGCATGCGCACCCCTACCAGCGGTGTTTATACCTAACGCTTACAGGGTGCAGTATTCTCTGAAAGGACATGTGGCAGGACATAACTTGTGAAATGTCCTTAAAAAAAAGAAGATGGACAAACAATTTTCGACGCGCGAATGGAGTTTATACGAGTTGGGAGGTATACGACCAGGTGCCGCAACACTGGGTGGGGTCAACTCACAGGGGGCAGGGATGGCATGATTACATTAACTATAAACTAAGCTTTATGAGCCTGACAAAGGAAGACCCTAACAACTCTTCACTGGGAGGGGAGCGAGAGTAAGCTTCATGTAAATCTAGGTTGCACAACTGATATTTTCCTGCTCCTCGCTCTACCAGTGTTTGGAATTGAGAACGCTCCCCAGATTGGGAAGCAAAATGTCTTCATCTTTAGAATATAAGTCCAGTTAATGACTGAAAAATCTACACCAGCAAGAGAATGGGAATAAATAAAAACGGGCAGAATAAAACAAGAAAAAGGTGTGTAGGGGTATACTTTTATTGTGAAGGAGCGTTTTAGCATCGTCTCGTAAAAAAAGGGAAGAAGAGGTTGGTCCCAAACCTTTTTTATGCACACACATATCCACACACAACCTCGCACCCATCACCCAGTGACACTCACAAACGTCCAGAGTCGTAACCTCAGCTGTAAACCTGGCACTCTCTCTCTCTCTCTCTCTCTCTCTCTCTACGGGAGAAAGGGGGTGAGAACCGGCAGTTCTGACCTGCTCGTCAGAATCCACGATGAATGTTATCTCTTTAGGCACAAACAGCTCTTAGCTTCACTTCGCTGCAGCCAACTCGCCGGTCACTCTTCCAAAAAGGATCCTCCTTCCCTCCCCTCCAAGCAGACGTACACACTGTTTGCAGTGGCCGCAGTAAAAGCCATGGCATGTGTGCGTGCGTGCGTGTTTGTGTGTCTGTGTGCTTGTGTCTGTGTGAGCGCGTGGACACTCCTCTGTGTGGAGGGAATAGGTCTTCTTTTATTCTCTCTCTTCCACTTTTCTCTGCATCTTTCTCCCTGTCGAGTCCACACAACTAAAGCAAAGTTTAAGAATTTTAAAAAAATAATTATTGATGACCTATATAAATATATACATGAATATATATATAAATATATAAATATATATATATCTTTTTTATGACAATTTCTAACAGGACTACGTCTGTAAAAAACAAAACAAACAAAAAAAAAAAAAGGCATTTCCAAACATATTTTCCATTGATTTCTTTTTGGGTGATGTTGCATTTTTGGTTGTTGAGTTTGTTCATATTTCCCCCGTTTTATTGTTGTAAAACAGCAAAAAGCTACGTGGAAAGATTAAAAAAACATTTAAAAGAACTCTATCGTTCAAGATGATGTAAAGCAGACCTCCCACTCGAGCTTTGAACTGACATATATGACATGTTTCAAAAACTAATTGAAAAAAAAATCATGTGCAATGCAGCTGTGTGTCTCTGAGCGTGTGTGTGTGTATGTGTGTGTGAAAGAAAGTGTCCGTCGTGTATAAAATATAGATGCTATATGAGGACTATCCATCCTTTCTATCAGCTTATGGTTATATTAAGTATAATACAAAAATGGGTGCTTGTGTGTGTGCGTGTGAGAGAGCGCGTGTGAGACACACACATATGAAGATGTAGTGCAATACTGCTATGATGTTATGCAATGAAGATGGTTTTTATGTGTAAGATTAAAAGAGTATCTATAAAGTTTGCACTAATATCAGCGGGACACAGAGTGAAATGACTCGAGATGAAGATTTCAAGAGCATGCGTTTGTTTGTTTAACTTATGTGTTCTGAGTTATAAGAGTGAAGGTTTTGATGGAAAATTTCATATCTATTGTTTTTTTTTCCTTTTATTTGTTTACTTGCTCCTCTCAGCACAAAGTGGAACTTATGAGCCAATATCAATTTTTTGCTTGATCTTTATTTATTATGAAGCCTCACTTGGTTTATTTCCAAGTCTAAACATGTTTTTTTTTTTTAATTTAATTTCCCCCACAATAAGAGAGCTTTCGAGGCTGCAAATGCTGTAAATACAAAGTTGGGTTTCAGTGTGGCTTCTGGTTCACAGATCAAATTATTTATCAGAGCCACAGCCCTGTTTAACCTCTCAAATGACATGTACACACTCTGGGTGGGCAACACACACACACACACACAGGGACACACACAGAATATCAGCATGTCCACACATGCATTTACATTTACACACGGATGGAACCACAGAAACTACAACACCCTCATAAATTGAAAAATGTGTTCTCAGTTTTCTTTCTTCGAGGGTTCAATGTATTTCTTAATCTCTCTCTCTCTCTCTCTCTCTCTCTCTCTCTCTCTCTCTCTCTCTCTCTCTCTCTCAGCCATCCGTATCATAGTGTGATATTCCTTATAAAGTATATGAATTTTTACAGAAAAGACTGATGACAAAGTTACGAAAGAGTTAACTGATGCAGAAAAATATATTCAGTAATGACAATATGAAGCAAAATAAATAAAAATGTTCCAGTTCAGTGAAGCGCTTGTTGTAAAATAGCTTTAAGTAATAAAATTAATTTAAAAATGCTTTCTGAAAATGGACTCAGATGGGTGTTTTTTTTTTCTTTATGTTTATATTTATTGTATAGTGGTTTGATCCCTCACAGCTCCACAGGAACAGGATGACCAGAGGAGGGCGCTSCGTCTCATCTTCGGCTGCTTGTACAAGCTCCTCAGCTGGATTTTGCATACATTTGCTTTGGTTTCTTCCCCTCCTCTCATTGCATTATGGTAACCATCTTCTCCTTGGGAAAGCACACAGTCAGAACAATGGCTTTAACACATAAACATCATCCTGTGATCCTGCAGAGGTTCAGATCGGTCATGCAACTTGTACTTTTAGCACATTTCTCTAATCTGTGCAAAAGTTAAAAAGGTAAATCTGTTAATCAAATATAAAGAGATGGTTAATCCTAACCTAAGATTAACATGGGATTAGTTTTTGTTTAAAACCTCAAGAGGTTTCCTTGCAGTTTGTGTTCAAAACAACGTGCCAAAATGTAGTTAGCATTTACAAACTATTTTAATG